CACGAGCACTAATTTCAAAGGATCAAACTAGGAGAACCAGAGACTCGCTCCAAGAAACCATCTTTTGAACTTTGAGGGGACGAAATCATTGTTGTTAACGTTCTCTAGTAGTTCTTGTGTAAAAAGGAAAGAAATAGCAAAGCTCCAGAATGCAAGCAAGATAGAAAACTTGTGTATAGACCAAACTAAAAGAAGAACCTGCTTGTGGCTTGAATGATCAAAGAAAATCCTCACTCGCTCGATCGAGGGAGTAGTTTAGTTATCACAAATTATTTACTTTTCATCACTTGATATAGTTCCTTTTTCTCTTCCTTTTTCTATCTTGACATTTCTAAAAACTCTCTATCCATCATCTTGTGAGATGGCACCACGAAGTAAGTAAATTTTCATGCCATTATTTGTGACTACATGATGGCAAAATGAAAGTTCTCAAAGCTAAAATTTCTAATTCTCTTATCGAATGAAGTGGAAACGATCATGAAAATAAGTTTATAAGAAAGGGCATATGGTTTTATAGACCCATACCAATCCATATTCAAATATTTCATAGTCCCAAATTATTAGTTTTTAAAGTTTTCTTCCGCTTCTCATGTTAATTTTTTTTTAGCTGGAGGAGTCTCCTTCTTCTTCTTCATCTACTTAGAAGGAGGCTCAGTATTTTACATTTCTCTAACAATTTTTCTTTACAAGCACCTTTTTTTTCACTTTTATACTTCCTACTCTGTATCTCTCTATGAAATTTGTACTCTTTAAATGAAGACCCAACTTCACTATGATGAAAATATCCTAAAGAAGAAAGCCTTCTAAGTATTATTATATGGTCATCAAAATCTCTCTTATGTTAGATGAATTTTAAATCATTTATGGAAAAAAAATTATGGACTTGTACCTGTAAGCAACATTATAGCCAAAGCAAAAATTTTAACTACTTCTTGATCGACCTCTTAATCAACTTCCTTCTAATAAAGAGCACATATATCAAAAAGATTTGCTTGAAGATAAAATCATCTAATTTGTAGAAATTATCTATAAAATCTCATTGATTGACTCGTCAATAATAATCTGTTCACCTGCCTTGCTAAAGAAGCCAATGCCCTTTTTTATGCTAGAGAATCACTATTCAAGCTATTAAGGTAAAAAAAGAAATGTCATCAAACACTCAGGGAACACAACCCAAATTTAAAAGTAAATATGAGCTTCTAATAAATGATAGATGATAGCAAGTTATAAACCACATCCTTCCTACAAAGTTATAGTCCAAGAAATTCTTAACTTCAAGAGATTTTGCTTTTATAGGATTGAGAAACTCTTTTCCTCCTTCGGGATCATAAGTGCCCAATGAGTAGCGAATGATTGATACTGCCTCACTATTTGTCATCCATCTTTATAAGAAACATACCAATACCTTGCCTATCAATTATTGATCTTACTTTTTTAGCCTAACCAACTTAATACTGATCCTTAAGAACAAGATGAACCCATCATTATACACCTTTACCATAAAACAAATGATATAAAAATGATATTGATAGCATAGTTTTTAACTTTCTCATAAAAAAACACGGTGCCATGATTCCTACAATATAGTTTGTAATCACCTGCACCATGATCATACCATCATAGTTAAAAATTTCCACCAACTCCTTAAAGAAAAGGCGACACAACCCTAATTAAAATTTATCATGTCAAAAAAGAAGCTCATCATTATGCCATATTTAGTAAATCTTCTTTCAAATTTGGTAATTTAACTTTCCTAAAAATGCACGATATTATTGCATGGTTAAAAAATAACTCCAACTGTAATACATTTCTATCCACTTTTGATAGTTTTAATTGCTTAGGAAACTCAAACATGTTTTAAAAACATAACCCACTCTTGACATTATGTTTTGGTTTAGAGAAAATGAAATGATGGAATGCACAAATAACATTAGAATTTTTTCGGGATGGAAAAGATTTTGAAAACTAACATTAACTCCCTTTAAAGGGGGTTAGGATGCAATTTAGTAAGATTAAAAGATCATTAAATGACTTTTTTGAATGTTTCCCTTAACAAAGATAGTTCAATTAAAACCATCAAATTAAAATAACAAATAATACCTTCAATTACTTTGAAAATCAATACAATCTACTATAAACAATACATTTTGAATTGTTAACCCAATTTGCTAAGGGTGACCATCACTATTTACATAAGAGGAAATAAATAATAGTAAATAAAGGTCAAAAGTGACATAAGGTGGTACTTGCACACTCTATCAAGCACTTCAACATAAAATAAACACCAACCATGAATTGAATCAAGCGAGTTAACTCCAAATACTTCTAAAAGTCTAATAGCTTGTCACCCATCTCGATAATGCCTCTTCTCAACTTAGAAAATTGTTACATTATTATAATATTATTCATAGCATAAGTCACAGTCATAGTAATTAATTCCAAGGAGAATTCCTTAATTCTCCCTAGACTCTTAGTATCTATACCTATTTGAGGAGCCATCGAACTTGCTCTAAAAAATTTTGAAGTTGTCTCCCTTAGTAAAGAAGTAGTATATTTATTTACACTAGCAATAAGTGATTTGGTAGTCGTTGCTCTTTTCCCAATCTAAATTAAAACCATCAAATTTGAAGGAACATTTGAAATAAAAATATATAATTCAAAATAGTTCTATAAGCCAATTTCTAACAACGAATATTTAGAAGCCCATACTTTTAATATGCAAGTCCTCACTTATAGTCTCAAGGGCACCCTCATCTAGCAAGCTTACAAGAGGAGGACCACCATCCCTAAGGATTAATTGCTCAAGCTCCCTTTCTTCAAGGATAAGCTATTAAACTTGAGAAAGACACGCCACATTTAAATTTAATACACAAGCAAAACATAGCTCAACATGTCAATCAAAAAATTGCTTTTCGCTCATAATCCCACTAATCCTAAATTGAGTTGTAAAATGAACTCACATTTATTAAACTTTCCAATGAATTAATTATACATAAGAAAAAATTTCCTTTCTCTTACCCCAACATGAACTTAATTCAAGAAAAAATTGGCAGACCACTCATTTTGTTGAACTCATCTAATACCATGTTAGGAGCTGGAGACACTAATAGATGCTCAACCTAAGAAATCACCTCAAAAGATGGAATCTCTAGTAGGTGTAGATCAAAAAATGGAGGACATGTCATAGGAAGAGCCTCCATGAAGACCAGGGGCTCAACAATAAGAAGAAGAGAAAATTCCCTTCTAAAGAGCTTCAACTTCTATTTTTTTTTTTTTTGCAATTTTTACTTTATTCTTCTTCCTCTCTAAACCTCTTTCTTTTCTACTTTTTTCAGGCAATGCCTCAATAAGACTAGCTTTGGAAATCACAGTCCTTTTGGTAGGAACTAAAGGAACATGAATGAAAAATAGAACAAAAAAAGAAGTAGGGTCCATCGATAGTAACACAACATAAATCCCTCATCTCTCTATTTATAGAGAAATAATTAGGAATAAGAGTTATAAGAAAGGCAGAACATCATAAATAAATTTGTTTAGCTACATTTATTAAATAAGAGAAATCATTATTATCTTATTATTTTTGTAGTTTTATCATCAAAAGATAATAGAATTATGGAACAAAATATATATGATAAAAAAATCCTAGATCGGGCTTATCCATGAACTATGAGTCAACAAAATAGTTCACCATAACAGAGTGGCCAAACAATTTGATAAATGCTCAATATTGCTCAACCAAGAGCTCGGATAATCAGCTTGGCTCATCAATTCAGCCATCCAGCTCGTCAAGTCAACACAAAATATTATAGATAGCAAACCTTATCGCGAACTCTCCCAAGCAGCATGTTGGACCTCATTATGATGTTCTATATCGAATAAGCAGACAAGTCACATCAGTCCTACATTTGTAACTTTGATATGTACTTTACTCTGTGCTGATCTACTTTTTGGTAATAAGTAACTATAAAGTTCTCTCTATCTCTCTCAATTTGTATTTCCTCATTTGTTATAGTCAATTTTACAAGAACTACCCACAAACAAAATTAGATCAAATAATAAAATTAATATATAAAAATTAATTTTTTTTACTATATCTTCAAACTACTAATTTTTTCTCTTCTACATTTCAATTATCAACTTTAATATTATAATTTTCTAAATAAACTTTAATTAATTTTCATGAATCATAATTAAAACCTTAAATTAATTAATCTTCTTATTTATTTATTTATCCGCATGTCTATATTTTAGTTTTTTTTAATCGGCTTAGGCGAAGCTCACATCTACAATCCCATTATATTTTTTATTAAAGGTAACATTTATTTAAACCTTAAATTCTAAAAAAACTTTTAAAAAAGTTTATAAAAGCTTAAGCCAAAATTTAACTACCCAATAAATTTTTATTTTTGGGAAAATTGAGGCCCTAGCTTGGAATTATTAAATAAAAAAATTGATGCAAAAGAGTACAAACACAAGAAAAAGAACCAAAAATTACATCAAAATAAAAATAAAAACTAAAATAATAGACATAAATTAAAGACAAAAATGCAGCAATAGAATTCCGACAATCACCTACAGATCAGTGAGCCTCACAAATGTGAACAGCTCCAATAGAAGCAGGAACCAAAAGAACAGTGCTACAAATATTATCAGTAAAAACAACAATACTAAATGCAAAAACAGAGGCTGAAAAAAAATAAAATATAAGTTGAATTCTCATTTACAACAATTCTATTCAATAAATTTTGTTGGCTTAAATTTCGATTTATTATCGTAACTAAGTGAAAAAAGTTGCGTATGTAAGATGCACGAAAGACTGCACGCGTTAGATAGGTTATAAAAAAGATATTAAAGATTAAATTCACATTTTATCATCTGTAATCTATCTGTAACTAATAAGTTTAGCACTTCTATATCCATATTTTTTATAAGATACAGACAATTTATAGATACATGGTATAAGTATAAAAGGCGAATATAACCAAGCACGCAAAATTTTCTCGTGACTACGAGTCTGGCAGCCCTCGGGTACGTGTTTGGATGGCCCGTCCAATCGGTCCGGAGTGGGACGACACCGAGTGGGAAGTCTGCGAGGACCGCGGCTTCGTCTACAAGAAGCGGCGGCGGCGGCACCTCGCATCGCTGGCAGGGCATCCTCCTGTCGACTCCGAGGCACAGCTCCAGCTCAAGAAGCATGCGCTCAAGAAGCGATGCCTTCTGACCATTCGCGACAAATACCGGAGCGAAATAGAGCAGTGGGAGGAGCTTTCTGCCTCCCTCATTCGCCTGGCTTCTCCTCCTGCTAAAGACACCTCCGAAGCTGGCACGTCATCCATTGCTTCCCCTCGGCCTTCCTATATGTCTCCGCCGGCTGTCGACGTCCTTTTCCTCGAGGTAAACTTCGTTAGGGTTAGGGTTTAGTTCTGCAGTGATTTTTTTATATGAAATCAATAGTTTTTGTATGGCTGAGTTGGCATTCGTTAAAATTATATTATGATCTAGCACAAGTTTGATTTATTTAGGAGAAAGGTGATATACACTACCGAACCGGCTGTTTGAAAACATCTGGATTTAAGCTATTAGGATTTACTAAGGGTCCATTTGGGACAACATTCCTGCTGTCCTGCTGCTTTGATTTTTAGACCGTCACCAAAGTTCTGTTTGAAAAACTAATTTCTCGTTACTTTTTAAACATTTCTATGGTAGAAACCTATTTCTTTCAACTTGACTTGTTAAAATGTGGTGACTGTGCTGTCTAACTTTTTGAAATTAAAATAAATTGGTAATAGCCACCATAATTTTTTGAACGACTTCTTCTGTAGCAGATTCACAGCTGCTTCTTCAAATGGTAGTAATTGCCCCCATACAGACCCTAAAATCATTTAAATCTATATTTAATAAATCCTAAAATGGTTAAATACCAAAAATTTTTTTGCAATAGATTTGATAAATTCAGTTAAATCTTATAAAATTTGTTTGAAAACTTTTGTTATGACTTAAAAGTCCGTTAAGTTTGTTAGTGATATAGGAGCCACAACGACAGTAACAAAAATTATTTAGTAAAACGACTAGGATTACAATCGGGACTTAAGCAGAACTGAAAATACAACAAAATAACAATTTTCGGCCAGTGCTGAATAGCGATATCCATGGACAATAGAGGCTAGGCTTGTGGTTGACGGTGGAGCAAGGTGGAAGGAGGTGGTATGGTGATAGGAGGTTGGGAGGGGGCGACAATGAGTGAAGGTGACTAGAAAGTTGGCGTGGATATATGGATGATCACAAGCCGATAGGTGGAAGCCGAAGTAACATAGAGGTGATCTGTAGGCTGGCGGCTGAAAGCTGGAACGACAGGGATGTGATTTGCTTGCTGACTGCTGAAAGTTGGAACAGGATGGAGGTGGTATAGGCCGATGATTGGAAATTGACGAGGACAGAGGGGGATGTAAAGCCAGTTGCTGGAAGCATGATGCTCGTCTGCAGAAGGACATGGCGACAGTAGGAAGAGGGAAAATTGGAGATGATCATCACCTTGGATGAGTTATAGCCAGAGCGTCTTCTCACCGTCGGATACAACACTTGGAAGGGAGAAACGTAGGAGGCATAAATCTAAAATAAGAGATAATCAATAACTAATCTCTAAGCAAACAAATCAATATATATATATATATATATATGGTTTTCTTTTTTTAGCGTATATATATATATATATATATATAATAAATGCTAGTAGATAGAAATAAAAGGTAATAGAAAAGGGAGGGGATGTAATAAGAAGGGAATAGAAAGGTAAACAGATAGAATAGGAAGGGAGGTGAGCGACATAATAGGAAAGGTAAAGCCCTCTCCTTTGGGCGGCATGGCTTGCTGGACCGGTAGACCTACCCTAGACTCCCTGGCTGGATGGGTCGATCTAGCCCTTCTAAGCCCCCCGCGTCAAATAGAATATAGAAATGTAATTAGATTTTCATTATTTCATTACTATGATAGAAATAATTTATTAAATTTAATTAAAGTCAATTTTGTTTCTATTTCTTATCATGTTAATCAATAATTAATTATTCACTAAATTAGTTGATCATAATAGAAATTTTGTTAAACTAATTATTTGTCAAGCAATAGGTTAACATTTTTCAATTAATAATTAATTAATTATGTACTATATTAATTACTAATTACTTAGAATTTTATTAAATAAATTAAATTTAATATTTAATGTAATTTTGTTAACTAATTTTTAAATAGTTTCAAATAAATTTGTCTAAATATAATTAATCTGATAATTTGTAAATTAATTATTTAGTTATTAATCTTAGGAATTGTGTGGTATGTTTGTAACAACAACAACAACAACAAAGCCTTAATCCCACTACGTGGGGTCGGCTACATGAATCCTTTTTCTCCACTATGTCCTATTTAGAGTCATATTTTCATTTAGTTCTAGTAAATTAAGATCATTTTTAATACAATAAGCTCAAGTCTTCCTAAGTCTACCTCTGCCTTTCTTAACACAAGTCGAATCTAAAACATCTACTCTCCTAATCGGATCATCAGATGGTTGACGTTTAATGTGACCAAACCATCTAAGACGACTCTCTAATTTTGTCCGTCTCTCTAATATTGTCCGTCACTGAAGTTACACCAACCCTAGCACGAATATATTCATTTCGCATTTTGTCTCTAAGTGTAAAACCACTCGTCCACCTAATCATTCTCATCTTGGTAAGACTTAACTTATTATTATGCTTCTTTTTTAAAGGACAACAT